TTATTGCCCCTCCTTTCGGATGCCTACTCTGTCCAGATCCGTCTTCTTTTGGAGCCGGGCGCTTGAATGGTGTCCCTGGACCTCAAGGACGCATATTGGCATGTCCCGATTCATTCAGGGTTCAGGGACTGGCTTGGATTTGTTGTCGGGCATCAGGGTTACCACTTTGATTTCCTTCCATTCGACTTGAATTTGGCACCTTGCATTTTCACACGCCTTACCCAGGTCGTGGTGGCCCATCTGCATCTTTTAAGGGTTCGGGTACTGGCCTACCTTGATGATTGGCTGGTGTGAGCTCCCAGCCTTACCTTGAGGTTACCGTGAGATGATTTTGGGGCTCAGTGATCCCACTGCCTGGTCGTCGACCAGGCCTCCTCATTGCTGGCCTGGTCAACCAGGCTGTTGGACACAGCTGCTCACAACCTGACATATGAGTCACAGCCTGGTTGATCAGGTATCCTTTGGAGGTGTTTGTCAAGTTCTCTCTTGAACACTGTGAGGGGTTGGCCAGTTATGCCCCTTAAGTGTAGCGGAAGTGTGTTGAACAGTCTTGGGCCTCTGATGTTGATAGTTCTCTCTCAGAGTACCTATTGCACTTCTGCTTTTCAACGGGGGTATTCTGCACATCCTGCCATGCCTTCTGGTTTCATGTGATGTTATTTCTGTGTGCAGGTTTGGGACCAGCCCCTCTACTGTTTTCCATGTGTAAATTATTATGTATCTCTCCCGGCTGCACTCAAAATTCAGATTTAGGGTCTTTAGTCGGTCCCAATAGTTTATATGTTTTACTGAGTGGATTCTAGCAGTGAAGGTTCTCTGCATGCTCTCCAGGTCAGCAATTTCTCCAGCTTTTGCTTGACTGAGTCTTAAGTCAAGTCAAGCTCAGTCAAGCTCAGTCAAGCTGAGCTTGACTGAGTTTTGTACAGTGTTCCTGTTTTTATATTTTCATTATTTTGTAGCATAGAAGCTGGAACTTATCTTTGTTAAAACACCATATTATTTTCTGTAGCCCATAGAAAGACCCGATTTACATCTGATTGGAGGTTTGCTGTGTCCTCTGTTGTCTACTCTTGTAAAAATCCTAGTGTCGTCTACAAAGGAAGACACAGTACTATAAATTGTGTCCTTCTCTTATGTCCAATATGAGGATGAGAAAAATACTGGAGCAAGCACAGTACCCTGGGGGACTGAGTTCTTCATGGTTGATGGATCTGATTTTATTTTGTTGACTATTACACATTGGGTTCTGTTAGTCAGGAAATTGTAGATCCCTCTGCCTATTTTTCCGGCAAGTCCTTTAGAGTGCATTTTGTGTGCAATAACACCATGGTCTCATTTGTTGAAGGCTTGCGACAAGCCGGTCCAAGTGTCTGCTCACCGGGGATTTGGTTATTTCCCAGCTCGCCGGGTTCGGGTTCCTGGTGAACTGGTGGAAGTCCCATCTGATTCCCTCTCAGGTTCGGTCTTGGCTGGGTCTTGTGTGGGACTCTCAGACCACTTCCTTGTCTCTCCCTCTGAAGGTTCTGCTTTGGCTAAAGTCCTGCCTTTGCCTGTTTCGGGGGGGGGGGGGGTGCCGGGTCACACGGTGGTTGCTCGAGGGTTTGTGCGAGAGCCTGACCTTTGCCATGGTGGTCTACCCGCCAAGTCAGGTGTGGCTGTCGGCTTTTCTGGTTCCTTCGGGGATATGTCTTCCACCTCTCTCGCGATCATTGGGTTCGGCCTCCGGGTGCTGGAGTTCGTGACGGTATGGATGTTGATTCGGAGGGTTCGGGCCGCTCGCAAGGGTTTGATGCGGTCCTTGGCTCTTTGAGGCTGGTCACTTTGAGTGACTTGTCTACTGAGTTCTTGGGGTTTGGCTCTCTTGGTCTTTCACATTCGGGGGGTGTCCAACGTCCTGGTGGATAGCCTGTCTCGGTTCATTTCCCTATTCACGGAATAGATGGTCAATGCCGACTCGTTCAGTTGGCTCTGCCGGACGTATGAGATCCCGGTGGTGGACCTCTTCGCAACAGCTTGGTCGAGGCATCTCCCAATGTATGTGGCTCCCTTCCCCGACGGCAAGGCCGTCGGGGTCGATGCCTTCAGGCAGGGCTGGTCGAGGTTGGGTTACCTGTACCTCTTTTCCCCAGTTCCACTGTTGATCCAAGTCCTAGCTCATTTGGAGATATTCCAAGGGAGAGTAGTCCTCTTGGCCCCTTGGTGGCCGGCCCAACCTTGGTTTCAGGCGCTGCTTGCTTAGTGTCCGAACCCAGGGGGTCTTCCCGCGACTCCGCCTCTTTCAGCAGATCGGGCCAGTCTGTTGCATAGCTGGTTCATTCTTCTCCTCCAGTCTTCACATCTGGTCTTTCAGACACGGGTCTATCACCACTTGTATGGTGAGCCAGTGGCTTGTTGGTGTCCCACCTGCATGCTTTTTCTTGGCAGTAGTATGAAGTTTCCTGGCAGTCTTTCCTTTATTTATTATCCCTTCATAGGTTTACTTCTGTCTCTGATAGGGTTTTCTTGTCCTTCCTCTAGTGGTTGTTCAAGGACCATCATCTTATGCCGAATACTGTCACCTTGTATCGTGCGGCGCTGGAGGAGCCGCTGAAGCTTGCGTTCGGCATTGATGTTACGTCAGTACCATTTCGCAAGCTGTCTCGTGCGTTGTTTCACCTCCAGCCTGCTCATGTGTCACCTGAGCCGCCCTGATTATTGGACTGGGTGCTTTCCATCCTCTCTTCTCAATTTGTGGTGGCCCCTTGGATTCAGGACTGTTTGGCGAAGGCTCTCTTTCTTGTTGGCATTGGCCTCTTGGGGGTCAGATCAGAGAGCTTCATGCTTTCCTCCAGGGTAGAGGTTTCTGCTCTTTTGGTCCTGGTGATAGGTTTGTTCATTTGCAACTGTCTCCTTTTCTGGCGAAGAATGAGACTGCTCCTTTCCTGAGGGGTCCTTGGGTTATTGATGCTTGGTTGGTTAGGCCGGGAGTGCATCATGTGTTGTGTCTGGTTGTGTCTGGGGGGCTGTGCAGACAGCGACATGGTGATGACATGCACGTTTGCTCATTTTCATTTGGGGAATTCTGTCTACTAGTTCAGCTTTCAGTAGCAATATTTTAACCAGAATATGGGTTGGTTTTGGGGCGCTTACCTTACTGGGTGTCTGACCTAGTCGATGGCAGACATAGAATGCTTCCAACCACACGGGGGTTTCTGTAGGTCATTGCTCCTCATGTCTCTCTGAGGGAGCCAGGTTCTGGCTCATGGTCCCAGATAGGCCTAGAACTCCATATGCATTGGCTGATGTCAGGGTCTAATACTGTACATTTCTATCAGGCCGGTTAGCTGCTGGGAGCCTCCGGGTTTCGCCAAGATAATGGCGTTTCATTACTGTACATTCAACACTTTTTTTTTTTTTAAGAATCAAGTCAATAATCATATTAGAATTGAGACTAGTATAATTGGTATCGACATCATTAGACATTTTAGCATCGTCCCTACTGCTGCTAGTAGTAATGTTAGGAGGCGGCTCCAGGCCTGGAAATATCTGTTTTGGATTTTGGCAACTGTCAGTTCTAGTCCCTGGGACCTGGAACCAGCTGGATTGTACCTAGATGAGGTTCTAGGAGTGGTTTTCCCCAAGCTTATTCCAGAGCCAGGCTTGACCTGAGAGTTTGGTCCAACAGGCTGTTGCTTAGAGCAGCCCACAAGTTGAATCCCAGCTGCAAATGAGTACACGTGACAGGATGAACAACCTAGCAGTTGTTTTCTGTTGGGAGGTATTGCACGTGCTGGTATGTTTGCTCACAGTATGAGTGATGCTGCCTATTAAACTCACCCTCCAAAGTCAAATTTAAATTGAGTATGATGTCTCTTTGATGCAAGTAGAGAATGATAGTGACAGAATATTAGTGAAGATTGGTCTCTGATACAAGTACACAGTATGGCGATTCAGGATTAAAGTGTTAACTGAGCAGAGGAGTTACAAACTCTGTAGTGAAAGATATTGCAATTGCTTGGAACTCTCTTTTTGAGAGTGCTTACCTAAGAAATATCAACATTTGTAGGACTTTTGTAAATCTATGAACATTCTTTTTGTCAAATGTAGGTGCTGTCTTAAAAAAGATCTCCCTACTTTGCACTTACAAGGTAATGGATGTTTGAAGGCTGGTAAATATTAATCCCAATGTTTGACAATCTTTTAACAAAGGAAAGGATGGACAACCAAGACAATTTTCTTCCTGTTAGGCAGTGACATACTATGGCGGTATGTCCACAAACAGGATGTGTGTGTGTGGACAGTGTCTGCTTAATAACCCATTGCTCAGGATAAAATGAAATTTACCAAATCTACCATTATAGCAGCAGCACCAATTCAACAGCCACATATGGTTGTTGAATGGTTAGGGCATATGTATCATCCCTAACCATCATCACCACTACAGTAACCAAAAACATCCATGACCCTTCCCTCACAATTTAAGGAACTTGCTACAATTGCCACAACCACTATTATTCTACAAACGTACTGTACCATCTCCACAACCCTGCATAGTGATTACATGTTTGTATCATTCTGTATGCATTATGGTCTCTCTTCACTGAACCATCATGTATGTACTCATGCCCAATGCTGGCCTGGGGACACTTTTCAATCTACCGCATGATCAATCCATATATATCTAGTTTGAATAACATTTATCATGCAATGAGATTAGCTGTTTAATATATCAGTTCACAACCAGTGATGAAATTGATAATGATACTACATTTACTATGTTTTTCTCTTAAATACATATCCAAAGATTGGTCAACAGTACTGTATAGTGAGTGAAAGTCGCATCACTACTTCAGTAACCTTAACAGATTGTGGTTAATAGTCATTTTGCTAAAGCATAAACGTATATTAAAAAATGATAAAGGCTGGAATTATGTCTGTACATTATTGATTTTGTTGCTGTGTTTGGACGTATACCTTCTCATGCCCTGTTCTTACGGGTTTCTTTATCTCACCTTCGCCAGTGTTTATCTCCAGAGACGTCACTGGAGGAGCGGTCATCTGCCACCAAGCGTCCGGCAGCTGAGGGGGATGGGTGGGAGGAGGAGGAGCCTAAGAAAAAAATAACTTTTGGTCTCGGCAAGCCTCAAGTAAAGGGCTCTGTGGGAGCTCCTCTCACAACCAAGAAACCAATTGCTGGCATCTCAATCAAACTTGGTCAGACACAGGTATGTAGGTACATTATTGTAGTTGGGCATGCACACTTCATTAGCATGCCAAGGTGTTTGGCTCAGTATTATTATTTTGTGTTCAAGACATTAACCATTGTGATGCGCCGAGTTTATTGTGACTTTCCCCTTGTGTGCATAAAATCAAGTGTTCACAAAAAAAATTATCTTTGTAAAGTGATAAATTCCCTTTCCGGGACACGTATATGTAAAAAAAAAATTCTTTGGCTGTGGGAACATGAAGGGGGCGTCACGGGCTGATCGCCCATGCGTGAAGCTTCCAGAGGTGGTCGCACAGGCCATTCCAGCACTGCAAGTTGCCACAAATATATTTTCAATTATTTGTTTTATGTATTTCCAATGTGTTTTTTTTTTTTAATTGTATATGATGCATATTTGTGTCCTTTGCAATATGTATACAGTAGAATGTTGATAATGTTCCATGGCACTGTGATACAGTACATGTGTCAGTAATGTGTCCACAATAAATGTTTATTGTCGCAATATTACTTGTTAAAAATTCACTAAAATTACAATATGTACAGTTTCACACACTGTTTACACAGTAACACACTGTATTACACACTTCAAGAACAAGAGGTCATAGATTTAAACTAGCTAAACACAGATGCCGAAGAAATATAAGAAAATTCACCTTCGCAAATAGAGTGGTAGACGGTTGGAACAAGTTAAGTGAGAAGGTGGTGGAGGCCAAGACCGTCAGTAGTTTCAAAGCGTTATATGACAAAGAGTGCTGGGAAGACGGGACACCACGAGCGTAGCTCTCATCCTGTAACTACACTTAAGTAATTACACTTAGGTAATTACTCAGTACTTTGGAAGTGAGTAATAATCAACAAAGTAGTCCATGGTACACAGCGTGACTTCGCTCTCATTACACCAGGTACAGATAGATTTTCGCTTCCTGTTTCTTTCTGTGTGCTTGCAAATAGTGCACTCGTATACACCCTTGGCTTTAGTACCTGTAGGTGGTATGTATCCAAGCTTGTAAAGCATAAGGTAGTCTTGAAAAGATTATAGGAAAAGATCAATTTGTAAGGTAGTTTTGAAAAGATCGATTTGTAAAGTTCCTCGCTGGAAGAGATTCAGCTATTCTTGAAAATATCTATGGAAAACACCATCATGGAAGCCACTAACACTGTTCACTGTATCAGATGCATCATCACTGAACCCAGAAAATGATTCATCTATGTATCATTTGTAAAACTTGGAGATGGTATAGGTGGGCAAGAGTGGCGCTCGGAGCTACAACTGGATACATTCGCTGTATCGTCCTCATAGGTACTGTATCACTTGCATCTGACCTTTGTGTTAGGTCCTTATTGTGCCTAGCTTCACCAATATCATGACCCTTATGTTCTTCAAACAATAAGGTCTGAATTTCACCAACAGAGTGATCTTTCAACACCGCGTCGAACAGGTGTTTGGGAGCCAGAGGCATGTGCGCCACCCACGGTTGCTCATTCAGTACTAAGCCCGCCACCAGCCTAGAACATTCTGGGAATTTTTTCAAAGATGGCTGCCTCTCACTGGAGGTCCCAAGAGTCCATTTCATACACAATCTACCGCGCACTGTTTTAAATGGGTACGAAATATTCAAAAGGTGTTTTCTCGGCTGGCGCAGCACAGTGGTTAAACAGGTATGCTCCAGTGAATGGACAGTTTAAGGCATTTCTCAGAGCTTTGTTAAGCTTGTAATTGGATCAATAAATCTATACTTATTAAAAATATTGAGATTTTGGTTGTTACTTAGTTGTACCACTCGGTTGCTCACTTGAGTATGGTGTCATTGTTCCCTTAAACTGCAGCAATAGATATTCATTCATATCTGCCCATTAAAAAAAAAAATTACTTGTAAAATGCTTAATTTGGATGCAAAATGTAAGAAAGTTCCAATAACATAAATACCTACATGTTTACTGGTTAGATGAGGTATAGAAGGTTGGTGGGTGGCACGCCTAGTGGAGTGTGTCAGCATTAGACCTTGAGTCTTGCTGACCCAGTAGTGTGTGGCAGACGACTCCAGTCTTGATCTTGGGTGTTTCTTTCTTTCTTCACTTTTTAGTTCATTCAATATAGTATTTGTGTTAAATAACTATATGTACATGCAAATACAAATACTGTACACAAATTTTATTCATAAATGTCTTTATGGTATGTTTATTGTTGGGCTAGTTTACACAAGTTTACAGTGAATTATTGTGTAAGAAAAAGTCTTCAAAACATGAATGTATGATGGTAGCTTGCTTAGCTTAAATCTGACCTTTCATTCTTGAAGTTCCAGCTCTCAAGAATCCTTCTTTATCTATTTTGTTGATTCCCATTACTATTTTGTACATAGTGGTCATATTGCCTCTTTTCCTTCTATCTTCCAGCTTCAGCATGTTTAATGTCTTTAACCTCTCCTCGTAGCTCTCTTTTTCTTTTAGTTCCGGAAGCTGTTTTGTTGCATGTCTTTGAACCTTGTCCAGTTTGTTGATGTGCTACTCAAGATATGGGCACCATACAACCGCTGCATATTCCAACTTTGGTCTCACAAAGATTGGAACAATTTCATTAGCATTCCACTATCCATGTATTTAAAAGCAATTCTGAAATTGGAAAGTGTAGTATAAGCTCCTCGCAGAGTGGAGCAAGGTCCTCAGTTGATAGTTTTCTATCTAAACCCACCCCTAAATTTTTCAAATAATTTGTAGGGCTGTGTGTGGTCTATTTACTATTCCACATTCCATAACATGGCATTTAGTCACATTAAATTCCATTTGCCAAGTGGTGCTCCATACACTTTGTCCAGGTCTTCTGGAAAAGTAATTTTGGACATGTCTTCTATATTGTCTACTCATAAAAATCCTGGTGTTATCTGCAGTGATATGTACTGTACTCTAGTTTGTGTCCCCCTGTTTTATGTCTTATACGAGAATATGAAAAAGTACTGGAGCAAGAGCAGTACTCTGGGGGACTGAGCTTTTCATGGTGGCCAGTCTGGATTGTACTTTATTCATTATGACTGGGTTCTGTTGGTTAGGAAAAAAAGTTTACTTTTGCAGACAGAGTGGTAGTTGACAGAAGTTTAGTGAAAATGGTTGACACAAGTGGTGGAGGGCAAAAAAGTCAGTAGTTTTAAAGCATTATATGACAAAGTGCAGGGAAAACGGAACACCACGAGCGCAGTTTCCTGTAATCCTGTAAATGCACTTAGGTACTGTAATTACATTGAGTGTACCGAAGCTATATATTTTAATCTGACTAGGGTCAGATTGCATTTCCATAGCAGAGATAGCTTCTTTAAGTAGTTGTGAGCTTCCTTTACAAGTTAACTCCTCTCTTATTGCCTCGCTAGTGCAAGAAACTTGCTCCCCCTTGTCCACGGTGATGGGCCGATCCTTTGCAGTGCTTACCTTTAAAATATATGAAACTATTACTCTTAGAAATGCTCATGGTGCACATTGGGTCCATGCATTTCAACCAAGGGTATGTTTGGGTCACATTGGTGATTTTTGTGTGACTGCATAACCCCCTTTCCCCTACCTTTTCCTTACCAAGTGGTCCAGGTTGGAATTTGATGTCTGCTTAGGCAACACTTTCCCAGGGCCTGGAATGCCAGACTTTGTGAGATGGTTCGGGTAGGCACTATGCTTCGTCTGTGGGGTCTCTGCTTGCTTAAGTTGGGTTACTTTGCACAGAGAGCATTGTCCTGGTCCTGAGGTTTTCCTTGTGCTGTACTTTTGCAGTTTTATGCTCAGGCTCAGATCTTGTGCCTCGACACCCAGAGAAGGTAAAGGGTGGCTCCTCTGGCTGTGGTGATTGTATGGGCATTTTTTTCAGTTTCCTGTGTCACAGATTCATATCATGGTTGCACTGCATGTGGTTTTATTTCATTCTTTCCTTGTCAGTCTCTTCAAGTTGTAACACCATAAAGGTGTTTAATTTTATTTTACATACAACATGAGTCAGACAGACAGAATATTGAAAGGCACCAGGTTGTCTGTCTCTTAGCAATTAAGAAGTCACCCCTAGAGATTTAATGGTCAGAGGTTACCTTCGGGTCAGGTCGTGTGAATTGACCTAGCTTTCTGCTAAGCCGATAATTGCAGATGGATGGTGGGGTCTTTCCATCAAACAAGCTGCTGTTTTAGGTGTGGTATATAGATTGCCTGAGGCTATCTACTTAGTAGGCAGAGCTTAACTCCCAGTTCACCCATAAATACCCATGGAACTGAACATTCGAGATCAGACACACAGAGGATTGAAGATCAAGTGGGAGCAAGTAGATCGCTGGTCCTGAGGTCCCAGCTGCCAGACTGGCCTCCCCAGGCCAGAAGGGGGGAGGACTGCCTGTCAACTGTAGTGTCTCCCCCCCCCCCCCCCCTCTCCAATTTAGATTCAGAGAATTGATGAGTTGAACTTAAGGTGACAAATTTGGTGTGTTTCCAACTTAAGGTGTTGGGTAATTTTCAGAGGCAGTCAGCTGTAGTGTCCTCAAATTATTGTGTGGTGACTCACCTTGTTTATTATTGTTATCATTTAACATCCAAAGATATGAATGTATTATGAATTCCATATGAGTGAAGATCTCATGTTAAATATTTAATAGATTAACTTATGCTTTTAGATTGTCTTTAATTTTGTTCCCTAAAACCTTTTATTTGAAAGCTAAAGTGGAGAGCCCTCTGAACTTACTGACTTTTAAGAATCTTGCATGGACAAGTACATGATTCCAGTTGATACATGCTAACATTTGATAACAGCTTAAAGTACAGACAAGTTCCATTCCTTGTCTTATATATGTCCTTAACTTGAATGGATGGTGGCTGCAACTTTCATCCTTCAACCTTTCTATCTTTTTACTATTCTAGCACTCTTAGTTTCTGCTCCTCCTTGATCCCATTCTCTCCCTCATCCTAACTCCCTTTTCTCTGACCACTCCTTTCTCACACCTCTACTTCCCTCACCCCTGGTCCACCTTATTTTTTTGTTATGTCTTTCCATTTTATTTTCGATATGTTACAAAGTGATTTGGGTTGTTAATTGTGACAGCCATTTCTTTGCCTGTGAGTCCAGTGTATTTTCAAATGTTTTCCTTCCTTCTGTGAGCTCCTTACCGTGTTCTTAATTTTGTGTACTTTGCCTCTGAGTGCTCCAGACTATATTCTGTATACATGTCTAATTACATTTTGTGAAATATTTTTGTGTGCAATATTTGTTTTGTCATTCCTGTGATGGTTTAGGCCTAGACTATGTATGATACGAGTCTACAAAATCATACGTGTGCCAAGTCATCCATTCAGACTACTACAGTACACAAATTAACCTTGAAACAAACGTTTGAGTTCTCTTCTTACCATTAGTTTCACTATGTACAATACTTCAATCCCTTTGCATATTACCCTTGAATTAGGGTGTCTTTGACATAAAAAAATGCTTAATGCTATTTAAGATTTGATACAAAAAAAAGTAAATGTACACGTCCTCATTTATTACAAATATATGGCATAATTTTCATCCCAATTCAGGTAAATATGGTGTAATGCTTCATATTGTGGTTTGGTACATACATACAAACATATTGATCTTAGGCCTGCTGATGTTAGAATGGCCAGAAAACATACTCTATATTTTGAGGAAGTTGTCAAGAGTGCCAGAAGTCATTATTGGTAACATTGCTCTTTACAATTTATTTCTCTGAGACTCTTAATTACTTTGACAGCAGAAGCCAGTTTCCCAGGCAGGGGCCTTAGCAGTGAAGCCCAAGGTTGGGTCAGCTGCAGCAGTATTTGGCAGTGAAGATGATGATGAAGATGAAGAAATGCCCCCAGAGGCCAGAATGAGAATGAAGAATATTGGAAGGTGAGCAACCTTCCTTAACCTTAGTCAGGTGCTTTATATCCCTAATTTTGTTTTGTCCTTTGCCTTTTTATCTTGCTGTTTTATTCATATTTTTTCAGTTATGTTTCCTATTTGAAGCCATACTTATTTTCTGGAAAGGCTTCTATGAAGGTTACCTGGATAGCTCCACCTAATTCAATCCATGCCAAACCCTTGAACGTCATTATAGGCCTACCAGGAGCTAGAGGCCAAAACTTGGGCCCTTCTGAAGTGGCAAAGGGAGCATGAGGATACTCACTAGAACTTTCAGACCAAGAAAAAGCCACTAGCAAGGTAAGGTAAACAGCATAGAAAACAAGACACTGAGACCTATCTGGACCTTTTGCAAGAGTCCCACACATGCAATTGTTTTAGAAACTGAACATGCTCGAGGGGTGGCAGGGACACTTCCGACATAGATGGAAAATTTTCTATCTGGCAGAAAGATGAGGATGCTAATCAGAGGCAATGGATCTGACTGGAAGAATGTTACTGGCAGAGTCCCGCAGGGTTCCGTGCTTGCACCAGTAATGTTCATCACCTACATATGATCTTCCAGAAGGAATGCAGAATTATATGAACATGTTTGCAGATGATGCTAAGATACTGGGGAAGTTATTTTGAGATGATGATGTTATCTTGAGATGATTTCGGGGCATAGCATTCCCGCGGCCCAGTCCTCAACCAGGCCTCCTTTTTGTTCCACGCCCCCAAGAAGCAGCCCGTAGCAGCTGTCTAACTCCCAGGTACCTATTTACTGCTAGGTGAGCAGGTGATCAGAGTGAAAGAAACTCTGTCTATTAGTTTCTGCCTCCATCTGGGATTGACCTGGAACCTCAGGACTACGAATCCTGAGCGCTGTTCACTCGACTGTCAGGGCCCCCCTGACAGGGAAGATAGAAGACAAGAGATGATTGTCATGCCCTTCAAATGGATCTAGATAAAATAAGAGATTTTTATTTTGGAGAAATTGTGGAATTGGAAAAAATTTGACCACACACAATTTATAAATTATGTGGAAAGAAATTAAAGAACTAATAAAGAACGAGATCTAGGGGTGATTTTGGATAGTAAACTGTCAGCAGAGGAACACACAAAGAACATTGTGTGAGGAGCATATGCATCACTTTCCAACTTCAGACTCACTTTTAACTACACGGATGGTGAAATACCAAAGAAACTGTTCATGACTTTTGTGAGACCAAAATTGGAATCAAAATTAACAGTCATTAAATAATGTATTATATATACAGTATATCAGGTGTGGTTATGCAGGGAGGCCTGACAGCTGAGAGGACAGTGCTTCAGATTCATAGTCCTGAGGTTCCGGGTTTGATCCCCGGTGGAGGCAGAAACAAATGGCATAGTTTCTTTCACCCTGATGCCACTGCTACCTAGCAGTAAATAGGTACCTGAGAGTTAGACAGCTGCTAAGGGCTGCTTCCTGGGGTGTGTGTAGCAAAAAAAAAAAAAAAGAGGCCTGGTCGAAGACCGGGACGCTAAGCCCTGAAATCATCTTAAGATAACCTCAAGAAATGTATGCTGGGTAAGGAGGTAAGATGAAGTGAGCTTACCTCTCAACTGCCAATGTATTGTAAGCAATTTTTTGTAAGTTTGTGATAACAGACTATGATAATTTGGCTTGTTTTCAATATTTTATTATTAGCAGTGATTTTTTTGTGCTTGGTGAACTTACCCAGTATGCTCGTCCAGCTCCCTAGCCTATGGTGCTCGGTGTCTCGTCCGTAGTGCAGCCACATTAGATGCAGGGCAATCTTTTAAACATTTAAAAATAAAAAAGCGCGTCTTGTACGCCAGCAAATACGGTACACATTTCTGTATACAGCACCGTGTAAAGTATTTATCCAGTACCCTTCCCTGCAATTTTAGAAAGTGTCATACATCAGAAAAATCTGACGTAGAAGTTGTTTTACGTCTTGAAGTAAAAATCGACGTCAGACTTTGCAATATCTTGACCCTAATGCAAAATTGTACAGACTAGCTAGGTAACAGCTTCCTGGGCTGCTCACAATTTGAAAATGTTTATTATAATTTTGTGCTTTAAGTTATTTGCTGGGTTATAACTATAAATTTTGTGTCCAAATGTTAGCATATAAATTCTCTAGAGAATAGGGGCTAAAACAAATGTGTGTGTGTGTGTGTGTGTGTGTGTATGTATGTATATATATATATATATATATATATATATATGTATGTATGTATGTATGTATGTATGTATGTATGTATGTATGTATGTATGTGTGTGTGTGTGTGTGTGTGTGTGTGTCGTACCTAATAGCCAGAACGCACTTGTCAGCCTACTATGCACGGCCCGATTTGCCTAATAAGCCAAGTTTTCCTGAATTAATATATTTTCTCTATTTTTTTTCTTATGAAATGGTAAATCTACCCATTTCATTATGTATGAGGTCAATTTTTTTTTATTTGAGTTTAAATTAACGTAGATATATGACCAAACCTAACCAACCCTACCTAACCTAACCTAACTTATCTTTATAGGTTAGGTTAGGTTAGGTAGCCAAAAAAGTTAGGTTAGGTAGGTTAGGTAGTCGAAAAACAATTAATTCATGAAAACTTGGCTTATTAGTCAAATTGGGCCTTGCATAGTAGGCTGATAAGTGAGTTCTGGCTACTAGGTACGACATATATATATATATATATATATATATATATATATATATATATATATATATATATATATATATATATATATATATATATATATATATATATATAATAGATTGTGCATGACAGCACTGTATATGCTAATATTTATGAATAGCACTGTATATACTAATATTTATGAATAGCACTGTATATACTAATATTTATGAATAGCAATTGGATGATGTGTTTTAGCATCATCAGAATGGGAAAGTGTTAAAAGGCATCCCCTTTCAGATGTAATCCTTGGTCCACTTAATCCCATGTATATAAATATTAGGGTTAATGATGACAAAAAAATAATATTGACTTAGCAATCCTCATCCTAGGTTTGTATCAGAAAGAACTGTAAATATAGCCAAAAAGACCTGAACAAGCTGTGAGAAAGGGTTTAAATTTGGCATGTGTTGAAATATGAAATATGGCAACATGGAGATGTGCAAGTGTGTGCATACTGGAAACAATTGGAGGGACAACCAAGAGAAATCAAGGAGCTATAATCGGGGACTATACGAGACGGCAAATATCCAGTATAGCTGCAAGTCCAATAGAAACCTTTTTTTTTTTTTTTTTTTCTTTTTTTCAAAGAAATTGAGACAATATTTAGTTGACGAGCTTAGTATTACCTCCAGCTGGCAGAATTTGTTAAATACATTGGATAATTTTACTGAAGCCAACATACAAGTCATAAATACTCGTCCATTGCATGGGTAAGACAAATGAGTAACTTCATAAGCCACTCATAGGCTTTAGGGCCCTTGCAGGAATATCCATGCCCCCAAAAAAAATCATCTGCTTAGTACGGTCAAACCAGTACGGTTTTCTTTGCATAATATGTATATGAAGTTTTACATGTTTTACATTAGGTGTATTTGTTCTTTGTTCCCAGGGACACGCCAACCTCTGCAGGTCCCAACAGCTTTGGCAAAACAAGAATGGGCTTCTGTGATTCCAAGAAGATTTATGAGAAACAGCTTAAAGATGTGCAGGACAGATCAAACAAATTAGAACAAGATGGAGTGTAGACTACTTATGTAAATCAGCCAGAAGTGTGAAGTGTTGCAATTGAAGTATTACCTTGACTTGTTTACATTAGTTTAGGTCTCGTTATTCAGCATGACCATTCCCTCAATTTTTTTTATGCACTTTCTTGTTGGAGTTTTTGAAGTGAATCATGAATAATGATATTCCAGTTTCAGCACTAATGAACATGATGTTGGCTAGCAGGTGTATGTCTTCTCTGATTTAAGCCAGGATTTAGTTTCTCCAAGCAGTGGTTAATTTATCAAAGTTAAATACAAATATTTGCAGGGATGTTACCTCTTATTGGTCAATTTTAATAAACTGATGTATAGTGTGATAGTGTACTATGTGGCAGATATAATTTGTTTTCTTTAAGCAATGTGAACAAGACAGCTTTTCCAGATAATTTTGTATTAAAAACTGGTAAATATAGCAAACTAGAGACTTTGTACCCATGTGAAGTTTTATTTCAGTAGTGTGTACCTGTATGCCATATTATGAATCTTACTGCAGATTCCTAGTTTCAGGTAGTGGTTTGAGCCTTTTGAGATATTACTTCAAATTAATATACAACTTTTTTTTTTTGTAGAATTTGGTGAATTGTCACATTTAATATTTCAATAATTGAGAAATATTATTTTAAACCATTATTCAGAATTACATTCTTTGAACAAATTGTTAAGTGGGGACAAAGAAAATCTAAAGGAAATGTTAATGGTTGATGACTGTACAGTACTAGGAACAGCACTCTAAAGGCCAGATTCTGTATGGATTCAGATGCAAGGAACTTGAATGTTGTTAATGAATTCTGTAGTGATGGATGGACTAGTATTTTATAACAAGTATTTTATCCCTGTAGATTCAGCTATTGTATTTTATTTTTTGGCTTTTCCCTACAGTAACTACATCTGGTAGTCTGGGTTTAGTCAGTGAGTTTACATGGTATGAATAGGCATACATTTTTGTAAATATGTAATTACCTCACATTATAATACCATGTCAGAGTATAAATACTTTGTAAATGGTATTTGTGTATATGCTTTTTCAATGTGACCATCACTTGGGAAGATCGTACACCTTCCTGGTTTGCTGTCAATGGCAGTAATTTGAAATTCTATATTTCTAGGGACGAGTATATTGTTACAAAGTCAAAAAGAATGCATATCAAATGCGTATCTTTGAAGCATTTTTTAATGTCTTGAAGCGTATTCATCTGGAGCTGGAAAGATCCTAGCATATTAATATGCTGGAAAGATCCTAGCATATTAATATAATTGAGTTTTCAACTAAGTAAAAATAATTGTGTGATTTTTTTAAATTCCTATAAAATGTTTCAACATCAAGTTCAAGTTCAAGTATGTTTGTTGAGATAAGCAAGAAATACATCTCAAAGGGATAGAGTAGCTTAGGCTATTTCTACCCCCCTGGAACAACATTATTGTATTTCATTTGTAAGAAATATAATTAGCTCAGGCAGCATACTGTTTGGATTGAAATATCTGCTGTTATTACGTCAGTATATCTATTAACATAGGTCAATTAAAAAACATCAAAGTCCTCATCCTGTATAATTATTGTATCACTACTGTGATAGATCTAATTTCTTTTAGTGAAAAACTTGAGTTTTCACCTGTACATTGTTATGTATTTTGTATTTTTTGGATATTACCACAAGAATGCATAACCAAGTTTTCTTCAATACCGAAACACAGATTGACATAATGCAGTGTTATGAAGTATTTTTGGGCAATGTATTTCCATGGTACTAATTTACCTTATAGATGACATGGTTTTCATTTTCTTAAAACTATAAATACCTTTCATTGTTTTGCATAAAAATTTTATGCTTGTGCCTGTGTTAAAGGGCTGTAATATATTGTGAGCAATTCACCTTAAATAGTTAATTTGTTGGAACCATTTTATATGGCTTACCTTCAGTGTTAAATGAACTCTTTAACTAAAAGGGGTTTGTTAATTTTTTCATTACTAGATACTTTCATAACAGCTTTCCTTAAAAATGGTACAGTGTGATCTCTCATCAATAATGTGTGCTAGAGGATGTCTGTATACGAGTCTGCCAAATAATAGAGTTCTGGTACAATTTATTATTATTATTTTTTATTGGCAATAATATGCCAATTTTGTTTACCAGCTTTTGACACGTGTGATGAAAATACGTATTTCATTGCTACATGCAAATATACAACATGTAATGCATTTTTAATGGAAATAAATACTGTACAATATGTTGGAAAGCTGTATTTTACTTGTCTTGGATTTGTTAGGATGGCAGACCGATGTGGACCAACCTAGTCAGACTTACGCAGGAAATGTCTGATAGAATGGCCTTTACAGGGAAATTACCAGGTATATATATGCGGTGGGGGGGGGGGGGTTAAAAAAAAGGCAAACAAACCACAGGAACTTTTAGTTTAGAGAGACAAAATAAAAATTGTGGAGAAGAGCAGTGTGAAGGAAGACAATATCAGCAATACTGCAGGCCAAATTATAATAGTACTGTAATATTGAGAGCCACAGTTTGAACAGACACTGAAAAGAAATAAATTAGGCCAGAAAACATAGAAGGCACAGAGGAGTTTGCTGTGATTACATGAAGTGCGCATCAGTCAAAAAAAAATTGGAAAAAGTTGTGTAAATATTATACTAAAGGTATAATATTTATAATAAAGGCAAATACAGAACCAAATAGTTCTATATTTGGTTCAAATATATATATATATACACACACACACATATACATATATACACACATACACAGAGAGAGAGTTTTGAACATCCCAGAAAATGCTGGAATATGTTGGGGAAAGGAGCATGCCATTTTCGAGCAGAGTGCAGATTTTTTCCACCCTTCTTATGATACATAAAGTCTCGGTTAAAAATTTGAATGCCCAGATTTCCACGCGAGAGGAACATAACGGTATAGACAGAATGAAGACGAATATAATATCCCAGAAAATTTTTTAGGGTCGGATACAGAGTAGAACATAAAGAGATTGGAACTTGCAGACAGAAGTAAGCAAGTAATTATCAAAGAAGGCACCAAGCCGGGAAGGCTATATAGCAACATCTTGCAGACGGAAACAATGCAAGATATGGATGGGATTGGAAAAAGGCACAAGACTGGACTCCAAGGCACCATCAATACACATCCTACACTCCCCAATACCACAGCTAACACATTACCAGTACTACTACTTCCAAAATTGGACAAATCTTGGCCAAAACTACACCACACTCAAGAAAGATGATGGAGAGGGAAGCGATCTCTCAAATCTTTCCTGAAGCGACAATACGGAAAGTCATTTATATGTGTCAACATACTAGGCTCCAAGCCAAAACTAAGAAATTAAGTAATGTTTATAAATGGCCTTCTAATAGTCAACTTCAATATTTGGGGCATCCACAGAAACTCATATGTGAGATTACATGTATAGTGAAATCTGGATGCCAATTTATAATCTCTACTGTAGATGTGATAGAGTAAATAGGCAAAATAGAGTAGGTTGGTATATTAAAGAGAACTTATATACATAGAGCTCTTAAACTCTACAAATGAGCTGGTAGAGGTACTTGGCATCAAAGTAGAGAGCATAAACATTATGCTCTCAGTTTATTATACAAACTGCCAGATGCAACCATTGAGGAATTCACAGAAAAAAGAAACTTAGATAATTGCCTCTAGAAGCTAGAAAACCTGGTGCCTAATATTATCTCCCTTGGAGGCTTTCGTCTACCCAGTTTAAGATGGAGAATAACAAAACATTATAACAGGAAATCAAACTGGAAATAACCAGTCATGGGACAGAGAACTACAGTACTTAGATTTAGTGAAAAATGTTTGCTCAACCAGCAGATAAGCCAACTATGAATGAAAATATTCTGCGTGAACAAATCCACAAGGGCCGTGACGAGGATTATAGTCTGGAGAGGAAACTTCGGCGTCGCAGAGAGTAGAGCCCGGGCTCAACTCAGCAACCAGGCGAGGATTTGTTAATAGATAAAAGACTCGATCACACAGCACCAGAAAGGGAGGGGGGGACAAGAGGGTCGAGCAGCAGCCAGAAGTTCTTGTTTGATATTCCACCACAGCATCACTATCTCAGGGGGACCCTCAGGGCTCTATTTTGTCCTGTTCTTCTGTTTCTTGTTTTGGCTTGGTAATTACCTAAGTGTAGTTACAGGATGAGAGTTACGCTCGTGGTGTCCCGTCTTCCCAGTACTGTCATATAACGTTTACCACTCTGTTTACATGGGTGTCGTGTCTGTACGTGGGTGTCGTGTTTGTACATGGGTGACAGGAAGACAGGAGTGCACCTGTTGCTGGTCACATGAACAGATGGCAATGGTTCTGTCACTGGTCGCAGGAACCTGCAGAAGAACTCATGTTGCCGGTCACATAATTGAGGAGCACTTGTTTGTGTTCTCACATGATAATGTCAGTATGTATGTCGACACTTAACACATTCAGGTACAACTACATTTATACAGCTATGCTAGGCTATATGGAGAGGAGTGCATAGTGTATTAAGAGTGATGTTTAAATATCCCCATCACACAGGATGGTTAGTCATACAGAACCATGTGATCTGTAGTCTGCACTGGCAAATTTTGAGTGCATTATGAGGATATACTCAAAAAATACGTGAATTAATAAAGAGGTTGCAAAACTCCAGCTATCTCATGCCGCGGGGTCTGAATCTCATAATTTAACGTTCAATAAAGTGATGCGTGAGATCATGAGCCAGTTGCTGTTCAGAGTTTGCATTTGGAGTGCTCAGGATTGGGAAGTTCGCCACCTGCCACAGGTAACGGTAGCCACCTGCTACAGGTAACGGTAGCCAAGCCTGATCCTGGCAACCACTGTGTCGCACAGTCTGGTCGACGTTTTGTTCTGCCCAGATTCAGAGGTTTTGGATCTAAAATCATAGCTTTCAGATGCGCGCCGGAGTATGTTTACAAATCCTTATATCAATAATACGCTAACAGCATAAAATTGATAATTATACAAATAATTATATTTAGCAACTGGTATAAATGTCTGCATTTTCCTTTTAAAATATATTTCTTCCTCTGGGAGACCTATTTAGTGGCCCAAATGGACCCATCCCAACCTCGGGAACTTTCCCAAATTATGCGTCCTGCCCTGTTGAAGTAAGGTGGGCTAACCCCGGTAGCTTGCTCAAGCTATATGGTCTGTTTCATGTGATACAATTACAGTCAGATCTGTTTTGAGGCCCTAGGCCATCGACCCCACTCTCTGGTTACTGTGGCTATTCAAAGGCTAAACACACATGTAGACAGCTCAAATCATAATACGATAAAAATAATCTGTCAGTGTTACGAATTGATTACTCCAAGTATTATTGATATTTGTCAATTTTTCTGATACAACAAAGGAATTTCTGGAATAATTATCACAAGGAAAATTTCTGTCAAGCAATTTCTAATTAAATTGAGCTCGATTGACAAACCGATTATGAACAAACTTAGCTGGATAATTTGTAGAGGTCCACGGAGGAGTGTGTCTTGAGTGATGTTAGAGAGATGATACACTATTGTTTCATAGAGGCGACTGTGGTAGTGAGCCGGCGAGCACTCTAGGCGGTGGTGGCCAACATCACTGTGGTGTCCTGCCACACTCTCCGACCCCACACAACACTTACATATACTAAAGAGACCACAAGAATTACTAGCCAGGGAATAATGTTGAAGTTAGTGTGGTGAAGACAAGAGTGGTTCACCGTGTAGAGACTTGGTGGTGGAGAGCCGCGGGTCGGCTACCTAGATCACGCGCCACCTCATTTACAATTATTTATTTACTAATACAGTTAATAATTCTTCTGCAACTTTATTTATGAATTCAAATTTTATTGGTTTATTAAACTTTCATTTGGTAATATTAATAAGCCACATAGAAATACAAAAAGGTTTAATTTGGGGGTTAATAAATATGTATTTCTGTAGTAGCCTAGTTGATGGCGACATCATATACAATTTACACGAGTTTCAATATGAAGACTATTTTATATCGATCTATCAAAACAAGATTGATTTTGATACAAAATATACCAAATGACTGCTCAGGTGATAATCACAGATGAATGGCATTATTAATTATTCTAATTGAATTTGGGGGACAACCAGAGTACTAAATTATCTTAATTGCCACCATAACTACCCAACCCGGATCATGACGTCACGTGATTACACCTATACTAGTGCCTTTGTGCACTGATTAAATATTTACAATTATGAGCTGACTTAATTAAAAGAATATTTTAGCAACACAGTGGAATAAAGTATCCACAGGATTTATGTTAAGGTGCATTAGTGGTGGATATTGAGTCTTGGTGGATTTGTGGCTTAAGCCATTGTTTGGTGGATTATAGTGACGTCGAGGTTTAGTGCAAGTATAGTGAATGATATAGTGCAAGTATAGTGAATGATATAGTGCAAGTATAGTCAATGATATAGTGCAAGTATAGTCAATGATATAGTGCAAGTATAGTCAATGATATAGTGCAAGTATAGTCAATGATATAGTGCAAGTATAGTCAATGATATAGTGCAAGTATAGTCAATGATATAGTGCAAGTATAGTCAATGATATAGTGCAAGTATAGTCAATGATATAGTGCAAGTATAGTCAATGATATAGTGCAAGTATAGTCAATGATATAGTGCAAGTATAGTCAATGATATAGTGCAAGTATAGTCAATGATATAGTGCAAGTATAGTCAATGATATAGTGCAAGTATAGTCAATGATATAGTGCAAGTATAGTCAACGATATAGTGCAAGTATAGTCAACGATATAGTGCAAGTATAGTCAATGATATAGTGCAAGTATAGTCAATGATATAGTGCAAGTATAGTCAATGATATAGTGCAAGTATAGTCAATGATATAGTGCAAGTATAGTCAATGATATAGTGCAAGTATAGTCAATGATATAGTGCAAGTATAGTCAATGATATAGTGCAAGTATAGTCAATGATATAGTGCAAGTATAGTCAATGATATAGTGCAAGTATAGTCAATGATATAGTGCAAGCATAGTCAATGAATGAAGAAAATTGGCCCTGACTAAACGTCATACTATAATCTATTGTTCAGTAAACTCAAGTCAGGTCAGTCAAGTAACATAATTAAACAAGAAATGATTTACCGTGATAGTGTGAAGTGAGGAGGTGAGGAGTGAGGCAGACGTGAGAGGCCTGTGAGGCCTGGCCG